GACTCACCTCTGCTGAGTCCACTCAGCTGCCCAAAACCGTAATGCAGAGGACAGGTCCAGGAAAACAAAACCAAGTTGTGTTCTTGCTGTTCTGTCCTGCTCCTAACAGGCAGCAGATTACTGTGGCCCTATGCAGCCCCAAAAGTAGTGAAGGAAGCAAGTCCAAGTCTGTAAAACTAGAGGGTCAATGCAATGGCTTTGGCTGTTGTGTTCAATACAGCATTGGAAACAACTGGAATGTCTCGGGCAACTCTCTGAAAGGGTGGCATGTTGGGTCCTTCCAATGTGTCCAAGATACCTGGAGAACAGAAAAAAAGGGGAGAGGCAAGAGTCAGTTCAGATGATAGCACATGGCACATTTCCTCTTGCTTTTCTCTCTGTCCAGGTAGTGGTTGTGGGTGGCAGGGCCCAGAACAGGCAAAGCACTTGTAGGCAATGGGAGGAGACATCTAGCCCCAAAGACTGAACAGGAGTAAACACCTCCATCCAGAGACCACAGCGTACACATCAGAGCTTGTGCTCAGGGCAGAAAAACTGCATGTTCTCAAAAGGAACACAGACCCTTCTGCTTTGAGTGTCAGATCCGGTCCCCTGCCATTTGACCTGAATGCAGGTACTGCCAGAGATGTTGCTCTGCTGAAGGAAATTGATAAAATCCTGTTTCTACTTCATCCCAGCACAGATCTCGCTGTTAGACCAAGACTCACTTTCATCCTGAGATACACTTGCAGACTCACATCAGGAGCTGCAGCTGTGCTGCAGTGTGGAATTTCTGTCACTGGAATGCAAACGGACCATGCTTGGCAGGAAATACACAGAGCAATGCAAATGTCCTCAAGTCTCTGTCAATTACCCTCTCAAGACTGATAATCAGTTTTGGAGTGCTTTGAGAAAATTGCTTGGAGTATATTTTATTCTATTTCATCTGCCAAAAAGCTGAAGATCAGAACCTTTGCCATAAGCAGAGATTCAGGAAAGACAAGATTTATATCCAAAAGGACTTGTAATGCTATTATGCTAATTATGCAGCTTTATCAGAAAAATCACAAATGGGTCTGGCTGCCTAAACTCAGAGAAGAGACTTGCAGAATTGCATATTTAGGGACATTTAGAGACCTGGAAACTCTCTAGGATGGGGTGGGAGAAGAGTTTTGTTTTTTGTTTGGTTTTTTTTCAAGGAGGCTGAGACTTTGTTAGGAGAAAACAAGAAGAGATGGAAAAAGGACATAAACATTCATAGCATGGTTAACAGTACCAGATGGGGAAGATGCAGCTTCTGCTATCTGTGCTATACAACACAAGATACAAAAAGATGCTGAACAAAGAACGAAAAACACTTATGACACATTTCCTGATCAGAGAAAAGCAACCTGACTTCAATGATATTCAGAAAGGGGCTGGACATCTGCATGCAAGAACAGTCAGTACTGTTACACTTCACTTGTGGGGAAATAATTAGGGTCCTGCCTCACAAATTGGGTCTTAAGTGCTAAAACTCAGTGCACCCCCATGTTTACCTGCTGCCCTACTTGACCAGCTTCTTCGAAAAAGCCAGTGGTAGTGATTTTAGAGCTGGAAACTGGCACACATGCCCAAAGGACAGATTCAAACTGTCCATCCTTTCTCTCAGAGAGAGAAAAAACAACTTCTCTTCCCCCAAATCTAACAAGATGTCTTCGTATCTCCCTTGCTTACCTTCTACCACCTTGTGATAAGCAAAGTGCAGATAGAGGAGGAAAAGCATATGCAGAGCAGCAAGAGTCCCGCAGAGGATGAGCCGCTGGGTATGTCCCACGGTGCGTGACACCAGCACAGCGACCTAGGAGGGAGGAGGCACCTGCTACCTGAGCCTCTGGCACTGCAGTCAGGAACACATGGGAGAACAGGTCAGGCAGTGAGAATCTGCAGGAACACTGCACTAAGTCTTTTTTGCAGTTTTCACCAACAAATCTGGAGTAATCTGGCACTGTTTTGTGTAGGTGAACCTTGCCCAGTCTTGCCAAGAGTTCAGGATGCTCAGGCATGGCTCTCCAGAGCAGCAAGGGCTGTAGGAGAGTAAATGAACCTCCTGCAGCTGTTAGAGTGGGTGAGGATATTAATCCAAGCAACACCTCCACACACCAGTGGCCAAATTATGCAGGAGCATAATTTTTTCCACAGCAGTTTGACTGGCTGTGAAATGAACCACCAGGCCAAGGAGCAGAAAGCAAACACCACTTTCCTCCCTTTTTCTGCCCCAGGAAGAGAAGGACCCCAGGCTGCTTGTCTCTTACCATTCGTAGTGTAGAGAGTCCACCAATGACCAACCAGAAGATATAGAAGAGGGAGTGGAAGTGGATATTATAGGTGACAAAGAGAGTGATGCAGTGTCCGAAAAGGCCGTAGCCCTGGCAAAACAAAAATGTCCATGTTGCAAGCACCAGTCCCACACGAAGGGCCACTGATCAAGAGCACCAACAGCCTATTCCTGCAACACTTCACCACGGCAAAGCCTTACAAACCACTCATTCACTGCCACAGTCAACCAGAACAACAACTTCAACTGCTCACACACAGATTATCTGTCTGAAGGATTCACAGCCATGTCAGAGATTGCGACAACGTGGGAAACAGAGGAAAGATTCTCCAATCCCAGAGAAACTGGGAGTCTCCTGGCTTTTTATCACCAGGTTCTCAAATCAGGAAGTGCAAAGCAGGAGACCTGCACAAAGGAACTGCCTCTTTGTACTATCGCCGTGCCAGGGATGGGGCAGGTCAGAAGAACATCCTGGAATTCCATGTTGTCCCAGTGCAGTTACCTGCAGTTACCAGCAGTTTAGAAAGACTTTTCCTGTTCTTTGTGAAAAGTTTGTTCTGGAACACCATACAACCAATGTGCATCACAGGGCAGCTCCATGAGTACATACCAACAGTGACAGCATCTGCACCATTGTGATTTGGGCATTGCACAGATATGCCAGGAAATACATGAAAGATGAGACGCCCAGCCAGTAACCAAAGCAGGTGCCAATGGCTGTGCCCATCAGCGTGCCTTCCCTCTGTGGAGACAGTGTCAGAATGAGGAGAACTCAAAGGAGTGACCTGCCAGCACCCAAACTAACCCCTGAGAGTCCCAGACACTTTGCAGGAATTATCAAATAGGTAGCCAGCAGCATTCAGGGGCCACAGGACCTACACCCCAAGCTTTCCCCGCAGCAGAGTGTCAGGACTTTCTGTTACATCCTGCTTCCCACCCCCCAAAAAACATCCTCAAATCAATCTGCTTTTCAGCAAGATGCTTATTCAGTTATAGAAGAGGTTTCCTCTCCTTTTCTAGTGTCACTACAGCAACCCAGAGCCCAGTCAAACCACCACTTATCACTGAAACTCAACGTACAATGATGGTGTCTGAGGTCTTCATTCCATGCAAAAGAATGGCCACCAGTGTGAAAACCAGCATGAGGGGTCCATACAGCTCGCCTGCAATCTTCTGCAGGAGGAGACAGGTGAGGGAAAGTTTGGTTAGAGCCCCTGAATATCAGGCTCCCCACCACAGGCGATATAAGAAGTGCACTGGATGGAGTCTATCACCAGGTTATCACCTGAGGTTAGGTGACAGCTCACTGAGGTTTGGAACAACCATGGAAAGGAGCCACCAACATTTTCAGGGAGAACACCTAACAAACTCAGTCCTTAATAACATGGATTATTACAAGTTTTACCAGGTGTCTGTGGGATAGTCATTGGTCATGGAGTCTGATTCAGCAAAAGGGAACTTACCTGTGGGAAATTAATCATCTTCACAGGAATCATGGACTCCAGCAGTCTGCATCACAGGAAAACAGGGAATGACAACAGGAGCAGGAAGAACAACAGGACAGTTAACAAAATGCTTCATAAGTAAAAGATACCATATTACCAGTGTTTGCTTTGTGTTGACAGGCCTTGAGGGACAGAGGATTCTTTCTAAAGGGTGAGTCAAGGCCACTAAAGAAAGAAAACATTACTGTCCGTGGGTTAACTTTACTGAGGAGGGGCAGATTCAGTGTTTAGGAACCCACCCAGGGATGAGAGATCATTGACAGAACAGCAAAAAGGAAAGGTAATTTTCCTCATAAAGGCTCACAAAACTTTGCCTTGTTGGATACAACTGTGTTGCAAACCCAACAGAAGCCACATAAGGCAGCCAGGTACGAAAAGAGCCCTTTCTCCTGCCCTAAGCAGCAATGCCAGATGACAGGGCTGCCAGCCCAACCACAGGAGCTCACTAAGGCGAGCAGGACAACGCACAATGTGTGTGTCCATAGGCGAGTCTTCCTGCAGGGCTGACAGCCCACTGCTACTTGCTCGCTCGGAGCCGACAGCCAGCCTCCTGCAGGAGGAGCCTCCCCGCGCCGGGGCTGCCCACCTGGCTCGCACTTGGACGGGCTCCACATCGAAGTAGGGCCGGAGGATGTCGATGTTGGCGTAGAGGCTGAAGGCCCTGGAGGCTTGTCTCTTCCCCACCTGCCACATCTGCGGAGAGAAGGGAGCGGGCAGCGGCCGGGCGGGCAGGCAGGGACCCCGGGGCCGGGGCCGGCCGGGGGACAGCGCTCACCTGGTCAGCGACCTGCCGGCCCAGCTGCCCCCGCAGCCCCTTCATGCCCAGGAACTCCCCGTCCCCGTCCTCCTCCTCGCCGGCGCCCGCCTCGCCCTCCGCCTCCTCCTCCTCCTCCTCCTTCATGCGCTGGTGCATCTCCCCCATGTCCTCGAAGCTGGAGCCCGACGTGTCGTCCATGTTCTCCATGTCGATGACGGCGGAGCCGCCACCCTGCGCCGGGGCAGACACGGTGTCAGCACCCGCTCGGCCCGGCCCGGCCCCGCCGCCGCCCCCGGCCCGGCCCGGCCCCACCTGCATGTTGTCCTCGAAGCCGCCCCATTCGGCAGCGGGGGCACCGCTTCTGCCGCCGCCCGCCGCCCCCGGCGCGGCCATGGTGCCCGTCCCGGCCCCGCCGCGCTGGCCCGGATGGGCGGGAGCCGGATGTGACGGCGGCCGCGGAGCCGCTCGCAGGCCCGGGAGCGCCGCCCATCGCCCTCATGGCGGCCCGGCGGGGCACGGACGAGATGCGGGACCGCGTGGTGCTGGGCGAGTTCGGCGTCCGCAACGTGAGCGAGCCCCGCGGGGCGGGACGGGGGACGGCCGGCGCCCGCACCCCCTCACGGCCCCGCCTGTGCCCTGTTCCCGCAGGTCCACACCACCGACTTCCCCGGGAACTACCCCGGCTACGAGGACGCCTGGGACCAGCGGCGCTTCGAGGAGGTGGGTGAGCGGGCCGCGCCGGGGCTGTGGGGGGCGGGCTCGGGCCCTGCTGACCCGCCGTGCGCCGCTCCCGCAGGCGTTCCGCGTGGACGTGATCCGTGAGGAAGATGACACCCTGGAGTTCGACATGGTGGGCATCGACGCCGCCATCGCCAACGCCTTCCGCCGCATCCTGCTCGCCGAGGTACCCGTGCTCGCCTGGCACTGCCGCCTAAGACTGGCTCCTCAGGGAGCGTGGAATGTCCAGCCTTGCCAGCCCTTGGGGACAGCTGCGGGTTTTGGAAGAGAAGCACACGTTCGTTCCACACGTGTGCCAGGAGCCCAGAGAGAATTAGGGCTTCAGGAGCATGGGCGATACCGCCTACTGCTCCTAGGTGCTATTGGTGGTGTCTGCGGGTCAGCCTTTTCGACACAGCTGTGTTGCCAGCCCAGCAGAAGCCATGTAATGCTGCCAAATGCTAAAAGGTTGAGGATGCCCCAAAGCCCTTTCTCCTGCCTTTCACCTCTTGCGATTGATTGTTTAAAAAAATGGGGATGGGATTAGATGGGGTGTAAGTGTATATTGCATAGCCTGATTTGGCAGAAATACCACTCAAAATAGTCTGCATGGCAGTTATTTGTGAGAGAGGAGGGACACTTGAGCTGGATAATCTCTTGGCATGTAGTTGAGTTCTTGTTGTAGGCTGACTTGATCTCTTGTCTCCCTGAGGTGCCAACGATGGCTGTAGAGAAGGTCTTTGTGTACAACAACACATCCATTGTGCAGGATGAAATTCTGGCTCATAGGCTGGGCCTCATCCCTATCCGAGCTGACCCACGGCTCTTTGAGTACAGAAACCAAGGTGAGACTCTTGAATAGAATAGAAATATTGAAGGTTTCTCTCAAAGCAGGAAATCAGGGTCATGTAAACTGAGCATAAGTGTGATTTCATGTGCTTCTTCCCAGGAGATCAAGAAGGCACTGAAATTGATACTCTGCAGTTTCAGCTGAAAATCAAATGCAAACGAAATCCTCATGCTGCCAAGGAATCATCTGATCCTGATGAACTCTATTTCAATCATAAAGGTGAGATTGCTCCTAAAAATAGGTGCTGTTTTTGCTTTTGGTCTTGGAAGACAGGACCTGGGCTGTTTTTTCAGCCCTATGTGCTCACAGGGAGAGTTGATTCCATTCTGCTAAACTTACTTTTCGCTGTCTCCAGTCCCGTACAAGTGAGTGACCTGCTTTGAGGCAGCAGCTGGCTGATGCTTGTGGCTTCTCTTTGCAGTGTACAGTAAGCACATGACATGGGTGCCCCTGGGGAATCAGACAGACCTTTTTCCAGATGCTGACTTCCGACCCGTTCACGATGACATCCTCATTGCACTGTTGCGACCTGGGCAGGAAATAGATGTGCTTATGCACTGTGTCAAGGGTATAGGTGAGTCATGGCTCCTGAGGCAGTGGGACAAGCAATGGGAGTGCTGGGACGAGGGCACTGCACTGTGGTAGGGAAGGGTGCAGAACTGGCTTTTCCCCTGGAACTTCAGGCCCCAGCATCCTTGTTCCCCGAGGCCTGCTCTCATCCTTGACTCTTAACTCTTCATACAGGTAAGGATCACGCCAAGTTCTCTCCTGTGGCCACAGCCAGTTATCGACTGCTTCCTGACATTACTCTCCTGCAGCCCATTGAGGATGAGGCAGCTGAGACGTTGCAGAAGTGCTTTTCCCCTGGAGTCATTGAGATCCAGAATATCAATGGTACTTTTTTCCTGTGCTAAGTGCCTTGTTCCTTGCAAGCTTTAGTAGAGACCGATTGGAGCTTAGAGCCAAACTTTGCAGAGACAAAACCACATCATGATGTTGCCTTCCTGATCAATGGTTCATGCTCTTCTGAGCCTGATTTTATGGAGGAGTGGCTGCCACGTGCAGATGTGTTGAGTGATGAACAGGGATGTCCCTGAAATAAATTGGATTCCTGTCCACAGAGCTCTGCAGCTGCTGACTGCAGCTTCCGGTGCCGTTCAGTTCTGACACTGGGTAGTGAGCTTGCTAGTGAGCTGGACAAGCAGCTGAGTGTGGAGACTTCTTGTGTCCTTCCAGGGATGCACGTAGGCTTTGTGTTTGGGTTTTCCTGCAGGTTGGAGTTTCATGTTGAGCATATGCTAATTCTTTATATTGACGTGTCTCAGCCTTTGGTGAGGGGGGAGTGCCTGTTTGAGGTAAGCATGTGACCATAAGGCACCCACCTGCTGCACTTTCCCCATGTAGTTTCATCTCCCCTTTAGGAAAAAAGGTGGCAAGAGTAGCCAATGCACGGCTGGACACATTCAGCAGAGAAGTTTTCCGACATGAGGGCCTGAAAAACCTCGTGCGCCTGGCAAGAGTACGGAACCATTACATCTGTAAGTGCCCCGTTTTCCACAGAGTCCTGACATGGTTTGGGTGAACAAGCAGTGACTGGCCAGCACGTGTGGCTGGCTCTGTGCCTCTTCCCGCCCTCAGCATCCATACGTTCAGAATGTGGTGGGTAACTCCTTGCTTTGGGATTGAATCTGTTGGTGCTTCCTGCTGGCAAAGGTAGCCGCTTCTGTGGCTGTGAAGATGTGGCTTGTTGCTGTGAGGTGTAAGGGAAGGGGAGGGGCAGCAGCATGGAGCCAGGTGCGTGGAGGCTGAGGCTGCCTCGTGGCTGTGCTCACTTGTGTCTGTGTCTCTGTGCAGTTTCCGTGGAGTCCACGGGTATCTTGCCTCCAGATGTGCTGGTGAGTGAAGCCATCAAGATCCTGATGGGAAAGTGTCAGCGCTTCCTCAATGAGCTGGACTCTGTGTCTATGGAGTGACCAGGCTGTTGGGAAAGCAGAAACCTGCACTGCTGTTCTGGGCTTCCTGCACCTGCCTTTAAGAATTCCTCTTCCATAGGCAGGGGTCTGCTCAGAGTCCAAGGACTGTCTGGATTTTCTGTTGGTAATGAGCCGTAGTGAGAAGATGCACTAAAATAAAGGCTTTTTTTTTTTTTTTTTTTTAAAAGCTGTCTCTTGTGCCATTCACAATTGTGAAACCATAATACATGGAGAAGAAGGTGGCAGCGTGTCTAAAGATGAGTAACAGCATTCATTTTAGATGGTATGCAGTGAGGAGGACTGATGGGGCAGCGTAGTAAAGCACTTCACAGCAGGTCAGTGAGGTTTAACGAGTTGCTATCAGGGCATGGCTGGTTTGTGGGTGTTTCACACCAGCTCAGGGATAGTTAATACGATACAGAAAAGGCTGTACTGTCAGAGGACTGGAACATCTACCCTCTGAAGAAACTGAGAGAGCTGGGATTGTTCAGCCTGGAGAACAAGAAAGCTCCCGGGAAACCCTGTTCTGGCCTTTCAGTATATAAAGGGGGCATGGAGAAACTTTGCTTTTTTTATAGTGACAGGCTGAGGGCCAACAGTTTTGAACTGGAAGAAGGTAGACTGGTATTGAACATTAGGTATTTTTTACAATGAGGGTAGAGGTAAGTTGTCACAGGTTGCCCAGAGCTGGGAATGCCCCATCCCTGGAAGTGTTCAAGCCAGATTAGATGGGGCTTTGAGCAACATGGTTGAGTGTTGAGAGTTGAAAATGTCTGGGAGTATTGGTGTGTCCCAGTTGCTGAAGTCAATGCACACATATAAAGGGGGCATGGAGAAACTTTACTTTTTTTATAGTGACAGGCTGAGGGCCAACAGTTTTGAACTGGAAGAAGGTAGACTTGTATTGAACATAGGTATTTTTTACAATGAGGGTAGAGGTAAGTTGTCACAGGTTGCCCAGAGCTGGGAATGCCCCATCCCTGGAAGTTTGAGTGTTAAGAGTTGAAAATGTCTGGGAGTATTGGTGTGTCCCAGTTGCTGAAGTCAATGCACACTTTAGTGCTAGACCTCAGCAAGTCAGTAGAATGAAAATTTGTTTCCTTGGGGCAGAATTACTTAGAGTGTAAACATCCTGTTAGAGTGAACATGCTGCAGGGAGGAGGTACACTTGGCATCCTGGCCCCAGCCCCAGCCTGTCCCATGCCATGCTGCAGACCCAGGCATATGCTGCATGTGCCTATGATGCATTATATCTATCTATCATCTATCTATCTATCTATCTATCTATCTATCTATCTATCTATCTATTTCTCTGTGCTATTGCTTCACATGCTTATGGGACAGACCCTTGAAAAGTCTAAGGGTTTTGCTTTGACAGCACATACCCTCAAGCTGTAAGCTGGGACCTAGAATTAAAATAAACCAGCAGTGACAAATACTTACCTCAAAAATACAGTTTCCCCCTCACCTAATTAAACTATATAGTCTGGAATGGTTCATCCCCTCCCTGTCAGTGTACTAACCACCAGCAAAGGTGCCCCCTTTCTGGAAGCTGGAATAAGGAATACTGAGAAATCTCCAGGCAGGCAGCCTGGTCAGACCAGAAGCCTCATATCTTACTGAAACAGATAAAAGAATAAAAATGAAACGAGACCATATGTATGAAACTGGAATAGCTTTACTGACATTCAGGTGTAACACAACCAGTTCAGAGACAGCTTCGGATTTAAACATTCCTACAAAAAAGGTTTAAAATTCATTTTACAAAAACCCCTTGTGTCTAGCATGAAGTCACAGAATGTTAAAAATATCACAACACAATAAATACACCCAGCCTTTGCTAGAGCTAGGAGCCGTGTTAGCTCAGAGGTTAAAAAAGTTTGAGGCTAGGAAGAAAGTGGAGGGTGCTGGTGGAACAGCAGGGGCAGGAGGGTAAGTGGATGCCCAAGGCCTGCTCTTCCTGTCTGCACTCCCTCACCTCCCAACCCCAGCCTTTTATCCAGTCTGTCCATGTGGAGACATCACTTCTCCACCTACCACAGTTTATTACTTGCTCTGTCTCCTGGATGGCAAAGCTGCCAGCTAGCTCTGGACAGACCCTCCTAGCTCCTGCGCTAACTCTAGGGTAGATTGTGTAGTATTTGTCATGTAAGAAGAACCAGCTTTGCAGACTGGAGTGGCTTCATAGAGTCCCACCACATCTAAAACCCGGTTTCTGACCTGGCTCCCCCTGTAAACTGCAGTATAAAGCCCACCCCTCCTGCCCCACCATGCCATTCTCTGGGAAGTACCTGACTGGGTAAAAACAGGGGCTACTGCCACCTCCATTGCAACAGGGCAAGGAGATCCCTTTTGGATTGCAGGTGCTTCAGGTATTGGTCCAGATTTTATTTACCCTGCGCTGGCCAAGTTCTAGTCTACAGGGCATGGAAAAATGAAAAAAAAAATTAAGAAAAAAATATGTCCTGCTCCCCCTGAGAGATGTCCAAGAAAGGCTGGCACAAAGTAAAAGCCTTCCATTTGGCTCTGGGTAGAACAAGCTGTATGATCATATCTATACATACATATGTATATATATGACAGTGTCTGCCTCTTTCTAGAGAGCAGTTGCACCTTAGAAAGGCTGATCTCACAGGAGATCCTAGAGCACTGCTAGGCTTCCTGGCACGCAGCCCTCAGCCCAAGGCTCAGCATCCTGGAGGGAAACTGATTCAGCAGAATTCCAGTCCACTAGGGACAAGTGCTGATAAGCATGACAGGAGTGTCCAATGTGTTCCCTACAAAGCCTGGCTACTAGCACCCAGAGGAAGATTAGATTAGGGCAGCCCCTTTTCACACGGCACACTACTCTGCCTTTTGCATTAATCCTAAACCCCAAGGGCTGAAGAGGGAGCAAGAGTGACCCGAGGCTACAATATGATCAGGCTTTACCCTAAAGAGGTCTATGGACTCAGCTCCCACCTTGCAGAGAAGCAGAGGTCTAAAGATGCTCATCCAATGGAGGGGAAGGAGTCACGGGAAGAGCTTAATATTGACTGGTTCAATTGCCACCGCAGGCCCCATCCCAGCGTATGGAAGAGAAGGGGACAGGACCCGTAAGGGGCTTTATTCAGACGAATGCTTATGGAGGCAGTGACAAGGAGAATCTAATGTGCTTACTATGAGGAGAGACAAATTATAAGGTAGGGGAGGAGATGGTTGCAGCATCCCAGGCTCAGGGTTCAAAGAGAACATTGAAGCCCTCTCCATCCTCATTTTCTAGCACATCTGTCTCCAGTGATGGCTTCACCTTTTTGAAGAGAGACGGAAGGTTCCGGATATGAACCTCCTTGCGGAACTGCTCCCCGATGGGCTTCTGCAGAGGACAGAAGGCAGGCATCAATCATTACTGTCTTCATACCCCCACACAGCAGATCAGGGCCAGCTTGCTTGCACATCAGAGGCAGACCCCAGGTTCTCAGCAATCCCTAGGCCTGGACCCTGTGCTTGCATTTTGAGGAATTTCAGGCCTGGCCTCTCCCAAATGCCAGGGCACTGAGGTAACCTTTAGAATACCAGCTCCCCAGCTTCTAATTCAATGTCAAAGGCTCCACCACCACCATCCTCACAGAAGTCCAATGCCCACCCAGCAGCTTCAACCACACGCTGTTTTCCCGGGCACCCTTGTGCAAGGTACCCGCTGCCTCAGTCAAAGGCCATCGCTGGAGGGGCTGCTCAGTCTGCTGGACCTCCAAGGTGAAAAGAGGCAGAACAAACAGCAAGAACATGCTGCAAGAGCCTTCTGGCTCGGAATGGGGGTGGTTGGTGAGAGGAGACAGGCCATCTAGCTACCCCATCACTTCTGCAGCATACAGCTGTGAAATTTTCCTCCAGGATATCACTTACCCCAATGCAACCTGAGATGAGGCGCTTGAAGTGATCCTTCCGGCGCTTGTCTGCCACTTTTTGCAGCGTTGGGTTGAGAAGCTTTGAATCAAACTGCTCCAAAGAGTCCAGCTGGATGTCTGGGATCTGCTCCATCACTGCCTTCAGCTCACCATAGCGAGGGCGCTGCAGGACAAGCACCATTAACACAGCTCTGCTAGAGTAACAGCCTTGCCCTCACTGGGGGCCATTAACTCCTCTGCCCCTACCCACTAGGCATGGGATTACTTTTCACCATTCCCCTCACATGCCTCAACCTCACATTTGGATGAAGAACAGAGTTTCTCACCAAGGCCTCGTAGATCTGGAAAGCCAGGTGGACAAGAGCTGCCATGCAGCCATCGTGCTGCCCGTGTACCTGTAAGCCCTTGAGCACACTTGTGAAAAACCAGGACACAGCATCGGGAAGGAGGTTTCCTGGAAGCACCTGGGGAAGAAGCACTGTCAGCACTGAAGCAAGATACTGGTGGTACATAACCACCTTTCTGCAACAGTTTGCTCTTCCTGAGGGAGAAGGTGCCCAGGGGTGAAGCAGCCACACTTCTCACAGCATTCAGAGCTTCCTCTTCCAACCCTGCCAGAACTAATCCCTTCTTCCTCCCAGAGGTACCTGTTTGAGCAGTGGCCAGCAAAGCTGTGTTGTGGTTCTTTGGCAGGACAAGGTGTCCTTCCAGGACAGGGATGTGTAGGCAGTGATCAGCACTGCAGTGCAAACATCCTGAAAAGGAGTCAGAGAGGAAAACCAGTCAGAGGAACTATTTTCTACTTCCAGCATTCAAACCTGATGGGAGCCAAGAAGCAATCCAGAGAATCTGCAGGAGCTTCTGAGAATCCTGCACATTACTGCTGCTCTAACAAAAGGTGTTCACCCAATGTGCACCATCAGAACCATGAGGGACCAGTGTTAACCTGCTCCCTTCATCTCCCTGGGAAAGCCCCTGGAGCACTCAGGGACTTCCCTCAGCTGCTACTCTCAAGTCACTACAAAAGCTTCTACAAGAGCTTCTGAGGCATCCACAGCAGAGAGTACAGAAAAAAAAAGAAAGCTGGATGAAACCTGGGGCCCAGGATGAAGGCAGAGCCAGGGAGCACCCTGGGGTCTGAATATGCAGGGCCTCTTCCCCAGAAGGGCTGAAGCTCTGCAGCTGTGTCTCATAACTGGATCCCAACCCCCATTTGCTTTGTAGATTCTGCAAGGCCCTTAAAAGCCATGTATGTTCTAAAGGGTGATTCCCACATGGGGAACGCTCCAGCAGCCTGGATCTCTGCAGCAGTGTCTGGCTGCTGGGCAGACAAGTGTAACAAAGAGTACAGAGAAAGGATGGTGGCAGTGAGAGCACGTGCACTTACCTCTTGCTTCATCAGACACTTGCCAAGCTCGGTGAGCTCTGCGTTGGCAGGGGGAGTCACCTCCGTGGCCATTGCCTCATCATCTGCAGAGCAAAGGCTGCACTGTGAATGTGGCCTCCCAAGGACTGGGGGGGGACACAAGGAGGCTGCAAGAACTAAGCTGGGAGCCAGGAGACAGCACACAGGATCAGTGTCCTGGCACAGCTTACCCAGAACACCTCTTTTCAAGCAAAAAGCACCCACCTTTGTGGGGCAGGAGGGGCATGCAACTGGCTACCTCCAGCTTTTGGGAAACTGTTCACATCGCCCTCTGCTACTCATCCCACTTCTCAGAACATTAAGAACGTTAAAAACCAGCTGCTCCAATATGCCACCTGTGAACCCTACAGCACATTTGTTTCCAGGCTAGACTGGGTTTTTCTGTGGCCCCCAAGGCACGCTGGGCAGGACAGAGCTGAAGGCTTCTTTCCAAACCTATACCCCTTACACAGGACTTTCAGCATCAGCCCAGCCTCCCCCTCAAGAAACAGGAAAGGAACAGTGTTTGTGTACACCAAGGGCAGGAACGGCAAAGCAGGCATCTACTTACCATCTCCATCTACAGCAGCAGTAGTGTTCTGTTCAACGCCTTTCTTAGAAACACAGCAAACAGCTGCAAAAACAGTTGCAGGTCAGAGGAGCAGAAAAGGGAAGATGCTACTGCAGAACATGCAGAGATTATCCTACAGACTCTGATGGGCTCACAGCTGCTTCAAGCTCCCCCAGCTCTTACAGGGAATCTGAAGAACCAGAAAGCCCAGTGTAAAAGCTCAATACTGCACTACCTGCAAGGCTGTAAGACCCCACCCACAGCACCTTCCCACAGTGAACCTGCTGCACAGTGCTTGCTTCCTACTGCTGAGAACCAGGAATGTGCAAAACCACCTGAAGAACACTGATATACACTGAATAACCCAAGAACACTGATTTAAAGCAAAAAGGCCAGTGAAGAAAGGTGGCAGAAGATTGAGATCTGTAATCTCCATGGAATCAATTTCCCCAGCCTTCCTGTACAAAGCCATGCTGACAACAAAAATTATGCTGGAGAAGGGGAACAGAAGGAAGGCTGCTTTGGGGAATGGACTGCTCCCTTATGTCTAGTTAGACACATGACAATTGCCAGCAACAGAACTGCTCTACAC